AGCAGCTTCAAAGGGAAAAACATGTAATCTGACCATGCTATCATTGATTAGCAGCCATGATTAGCATGGTCAGTTTAAACAGGGGAACACAGGAACAGGCAGGATCAACCAGGTATTGTACAACATGGAAAGGGCCAAATAACACTGCAGTAGCACTGTGCTATATATCATCAAGGGAGAGGAGCATTTTGTTAGGAGTACAATGACATTAGTTCACCCAGCTCCATGAACTGCTAATTAGTTGGCTTTGCTGTGACAACCCAGACCCCATGCTTGACCCAGATCTGAAGGTTTTTAAGTGACTGCTTAAGATTGCTCTCTGTTTACACTGAATTCAAACTGGATACAAGGTTTGAATCTTCCAATATACACTCACTGGCCACTCTATTAGGTGCACCTATTTCAATTGCTTGGTAATACAAATTGCTAATCAGCCAATTGCATGGCAGCAACTCAATGCATTGAGGCATCTAGATGTGGTAAAGACGACTTGCTGAAGTTCAAACCAGGCATTGGAATGGGGAAGAAAGGGGATTTAGGTGACTTTGAATGTGGAATGGTTGTTGGTGCCAGACGGGCTGGTCTGAGTATTTCAAAAATTGCTGATCTACTGGGATTTTTCACGCACAAACATCTCTAGGGTTTACAGAGAATGGTCTGAAAAGGAGTAAATACCCACTGAGTGGCAGTTGTGTGGACAAAAATTAATTGTTGAAGTCAGAGAATGGGCAGACTGTTTCAAGATGATAAAAATGCAACAGTAACTCAAATAACTACTCATTACAACCAAGATATGCAGAATATCATCTCTGAACACACAACACGTCAAACCTTGAAGCAGATGGACCACAGGAGGCTACAATTCATGAAGGATCACCAAAATTGATCAATAGAAGATTGGAAAAATGTTGCCTTATCTGATAAGTCTAGTTTTCAGATGAGATATTCAGATGGTAGGGTCAGAATTTGGAGTAAACAACATGAAAGCATGGATTCATCCTGCATTTGTATCAACGGTTCAGGCTGGTGGTGGTGTAATGGTGTGGGGGATATTTTCCTGGCACACTTTGGGCCCCTTAATGCCAATTGAGTATTGTTTCAACGCCACAGCCTACCTGAGTATTGTTGCTGACCATGTTCATCCCTTTCTGACTTTCTGACTATATATATATATATATATATATATATATATATATATATATATAGCCAAAAGTATTGGGACACCCCCTCCAAATCATAGAATTCAGGTGTTTCAATCACCTCCATGACCTCAGGTGTATAAAGTCAAGCACAAAGGCATGCTTCACAAACATTTGTGAAATAAAGGGTCACTCTCAGAAGCTCAGTGAATTCAAGCGTGGTGCTGTAATAGGTTGTCACCTGTGCAATAAGTACATCCATAAAATTTCTTGCTACTAAATATTCCACGGTCAACTGTTAGTGGTATTATAACAAAGTGGAAGCAACTGGGAATAACAGAAACTCAGCCACAAAGTGGTAGGCCACGTAAAATGACAGAACGGGGTCAGCACATGCTGAAGCACACAGTGCACAGAAGTCACCAACTGTCTGCAAAGTCAATAGCTAAAGACTTCCAAACTTTGTGTGGCCTTCAGATTAGTACAATGACAGTGTGTAGAGAGCTTTATGGAATGGGTCTCCATGGCCAAGCAGCTGCATCCAAGCCTTACAACACCAAGTACAATGCAAAGTGTCGGATGCATTGGTGTAAAGCACGCCACCACTGAACTCTAGAGCAGTGGAGACATGTTCTCTGGAGTGACAAATCATGCTTCTCTGTCTGGCAATCTGATGGACGTTTCTGGGTTTGGTGGTTGCCAGGAGAACGGTACTTGCCTGACTGCATTGTGCCAAGTGTAAAGTTTGGTGGATGGGGGATTAGGGTGATGGGCTTGGCCCCTTAGTTCCAGTGAAGGGAACTCTTAAGGCATCAGCATACCAAGACATTTGGACAATTTCATACTTCCAACTTTGTGGGAACAGTTTGGGCCCTTCCTGTTTCAACATGACTGCACACCAGAGCACAAAGCAAGGTCCATAAAGACATGGATGAGCGAGTTTCGGATGGAGGAACTTGATTGGCCTGCACCCGAGTCCTGACCTCAACCCGATAGAACACCTTTGGGATGCACTAAAGTGGAGACTGCAAACCAGGCCTTCACGCCCGACATCAGTGCCTGACCTCACAAATGTGCTTCTGGAAGAATGGTCAAACATTCCCATAGACACCCTCCTAAACCTTGTGGAAAGCCTTCCCAGAAGAGTTGAAGCTGGTATAGCTGCAAAGGGTGGGACAACTCAATATTGAACCCTACAGACTAAGATTGGGATGCCATTAAAGTTCATGTGCCTGTAAAGGCAGGATTCCCAACATGTTTGGAAATATAGTGTGTGTATATATGTGTATATGAAAGGCGAGGTGATCGATGGACGCTATGGGGTTTTTTTTAAACCTAAAGCTGGAGAGTCCAAAATCAGACTCCTTTCTGGATAGAAACCAATCAGCTTCTAACCTCAGCTTGTTCAATGAAGCTTTGGCAATGAAACCTGGAAGCTGATTGGTTTCTATGCAGAAGGGAGTCTGATTTTGGACTCTCCAGCTTTAGTAAATAAACCCCTATGTGTCACCTCCCATGCGATCATATCTGGGAGATTAAGGTGGAGTCCACTCCGGGTTTTCTGTTCCACTATCGCAGAGGTGATTCCGGACCGGATTTTGTGGTCCACTGATGACCACCAGCAGGTGGTATAAATCAGACAGGGCTGGAGCAAGTGGTTGTTCTTGGCCTGCTACTCAGAGACTCGTATCTGAGTGAGCTGTGGATGAAAGTTTGCATTGTGCAAGAAAGGAAAAGGTTTTCATGCTGGTTTCATTTTGTTGGTGACAGGGAGAAGCCCTTCAACTTTGAGAGAGGAATCTCCTATGTTTAGTTAGTGCCTGGATGACAAGGGTTTATTTTCTGTTTTGTTTGTTTATGATGCTTGCAACCTTTTAGATAAAACGGACGACAAGTCAGATTTTACGAAAGCCCTTCTGTTTGGACTACCTTTTTACCAGGCAAGGTGATCCCCCACCTGAGCTACCCCCACAATATATACAGTATCTCACAGAAGTGAGTACACCCTCACATTTTTGTAAATATTTTATTATATCTTTTCATGTGACAACACTGAAGAAATGACACTTTGCTACAATGTAAAGTAGTGAGAGTACAGCTTGCATAAGAGTGTAAATTTGCTGTCCCCTCAAAATAACTCAATACACAGCCAATAATGTCTAAACTACTGGCAACAAAAGTGAGTACACCCCTAAGTGAAAATGTCCAAAGTGGGCCCAATTAACCATTTTCCCTCCCCAGTGTCATGTGACTCCTTAGTGTTGCAAGGTCTCAGGTGTGAATGGGTAGCAGGTGTGTTAAATTTGGTGTTATCACTCTCACTCTCTCATACTGGTCACTGGAAGTTCAACATGGCACCTCATGGCAAAGAACTCTCTGAGGATGTGAAAAAAAGAATTGTTGCTCTACATAAAGATGGCCTAGGCTATAAGAAGATTGCTAAGATCCTGAAACTGAGCTGCAGCATGATGTCCAACACCATACAGTGGTTTAACAGGACGGGTTCCACTCAGAACAGGCCTCGCCATGGTAGACCAAGGATGTTGAGTGCACATGCTCAGCATCATATCCAGAGGTTGTCAGCATTGCTGCAGAGGTTAAAGGGGTGGGGGGTCAGCCTGTTACTGCTCAGACCATACACCACACACTGCATCAAATTGGTCTGCATGGCTGTCGTCCCAGAAGGAAGCCTCTTCTAAAGATGATGCACAAGAAAGCCCACAAACAGTTTGCTGAAGACAAGCAGACTAAGGACATGGATTACTGGACCCATGTCCTGTGGTCTGAGGAGACCAAGATAAACTTATTTGGTTCAGATGGTGTCAAGCGTGTGTGGCGGCAACCAAGTGAGGAGTACAAAGACAAGTGTATAAGTAAATAAATATAAATGGCGCCTATGGAGAGAGTAAAAATGTGGGTCACTAACTGATATACCAGCTGCAAAATCCACCATAAATTAATAAAGTGTAAAAAACAACACAAAAATAATTTGCGCTAGTAAATAAATAAATATTACAATTATACCTGTGAACAAGCAAAATATAAAAAATATTATGAATGTGAGTAATGATTATAAATACATAATTGAAAAAAATGTTATATATAAAAGTGTCCAAAAACAGTCCAAATTAAGATGTGTAGTACAAATCAGAAGAAAAGTGCACAAAAATGTGACAATCCACCACCAAAAGCACTAAATAAACTCACCAGAGCTATAAAAAACTGAAGCATATATTGCTCTGGGGGCGATGGTATTAGCAGAGTAATGAACCACTCATGGATGTGTCTTCAGGGAGTAATATTCTGCAGAACCCAGCTCCAAGCAGACCAATTTCAATGAAGCAATGCTCTATAATTAAATACCACTGAGGAAATCCACTTCTCCAAGAGATCACTTTATTCGTATCCAAAAGGGGTAATACCAGTCACTCGGAAGAAATAACAAAAACTTCATGGTGCAGTATTTTTAAAAAACAGCTTCATTTATTATGCACTCATTGCACTTAACTCAAAGGGTGTCCCAGCCGACACCAGCGTTAACAGCATATAGGAATCACAATGAAACGAACCCAGCCACTCAGCACATGCGCAGTAGATCGCTGGGAAACGTAATGACGTCACATCAATCAAGCCCCGCCCTATGCGTTTCGTCATCAACATCCTCACAGAGCGGACATCCGTGAGGACGTCGATGATGAAACGCGTAGGGTGGGGCTTGATTGATGTGACGTCATTACGTTTCCCAGCGATCTACTGCTCATGTGCCAAGTGGCTGGGTTCGTTTCATTGTGATTCCTATATGCTATTAACGCTATAATTCATGAAAATTCATGAAAAAAAACTTAGGGAAAATATGACTAATTAATTTTTCTCTGTGTTGTCACAGGACAACTTAATTACTGCAAGAACTTCACAGGACACATGGTTGATTATGTTGGGGTAACACACCCTCATTGGCTGTAGAAGTCCCAGAACTAAAGAGATCACAAAACTATAGATCCAAACAAAGGGATTACAGATGGCATTGTATCGATCATAAGCCATGTACATGAGTAAACACTCTCTGAATTTCCCAGAAACAGGCCAACATGAACTTGAGCTAAGCAGCCAAGTAAAGAGAACTCTTCTACTTGAAAGCAAGTCCACCAGAATACTTGGCATGGAGTTTGTAGAATAAAAAAAATCAATAAATGCTAAATTGCAGAGAAAAAAGAACATAGGGACATGTAAATGATGGCTGATAATAATGAGGAATACCATAAAGGCATTTCCAACTAGTGTGACCAAATAAATTGTTAAAAAGAGAACAAAGTCCAGTATTTATCTTGGGATTGTCGGTAAACCCCACCAATATGAACTCAGTTGCCAGGGTCTTGTTCATGAGGTCTATCAGATAGGCACCTTGAAAATACGAGGCACATTACATAAAAATGAAATTAAAGTTTACAGTTCCTTATGAATATTTACATGACGTTCACAGAAAAATCTAACAAAAAGCACACCTTAGAGACCACAATATTTCCTACATTTATACAATGGGCCTTTTTATTTGGCAATAATTTTGTCATTACTTAAGACAGGGGTCTTCAAACTTTCTAAACATAGGGTCAGTTTACTGCCCTCCCAAATTTTAGGGGGCCGTATTGTGGCCAGTGGGAGTAGAAAATATCCTGGTGTCGGTGGGAGTAAATTGTGTCCCCTCCTTGGTAGTAGGAGGTGGAATAGTGTCTCATTGTTGGTGTCAGTGGGAGGAATAGTGGCCTATCTGTGTCGATGGGAGGAATAGTGCACCATCTGTGTCAATGGGAGGAATAGTGCACCATCTGTGTCAATGGGAGGAATAGTGCACCATCTGTGTCAATGAGAGGAATTGTACCCCATCTTTAGTATTGGGAGGGGGAAATAATGACCAATCATTGGTGTCAGAGGGAGGAATAGCACTCCATTGTTGATGTCAGTGGGAAGAATAGTGCCTCATTGTCAGTGGTAGGAACTATGTCCCACTGTTGCCAACAGTGGGGGGAATAATGCCCCCCCCCCCCAAGGGCCAGATAAAAGCAAGAAAAGGGCTGCATCCAGCTCCTAGGCTGCAGTTTGGAGACCACTGACTTAAGATAAAGAAGTAATACTTATGGTTTTTTTTTCAGCTGTGAATAGTGTTAGTTTTAAAGAAAGTAGTTTTACTGTAAAAAAAAGTATACATTTCATAATGTGTTCCATTTAAAATGGCACTAAAATGATGTTTCTAGTACAAAACATTGCAAAGTTATTTGCAATTAAAAAAAAAGGTGTTTTAGACATGTGCATGCCACAAATTGTCGTTTAATTTCAGATGCATTCATTCATTGAAGAATGTTCTTTCATCATATTTGTTGTGTTAAACTGATTCACTTTTCGAATTCAATTTCTTAACATTTGTTTTATATATTCGTTAATTCAGATGGATTCGAAAAATTTAGCAGTTTTTCTGGAAAGTTGCAAGATATTCTATATACTGTCAATTCGTAAGGATTCAATATTTTTGGATGCTAGTTCAATACACCAAGAGAACTGGCAGGAGCTGATTGGACAATATCGACTGGTGTCATCCAGAATAACGAATGGAATGAAATTTGGATTCATGTGTTATTCAGATCTGAATTATCTAACAAATTTGAGAATTTAATTGATTTCCCCGTGGGCCCAAACTATTATCACATCATCTGCGTGTATATATCTGAACCTCTGAAAAATTACATTTTCATCTGAAAAACGAATATGAACAAAACCTACATGTTGTAGGTGTTTATTTTTTGTTTTCTTTTTATACAGCACCAAAAAAATCTGAAAAAGAAAAAAAATATCTAGTTTTACCGCCCCCTGCAATGGGTTCAGCCTATTAACCACATAGGCATCCATGCTTTTTTGAATCTAGGTCTTGGATCTTAGAGTCACTCCCCGTATAACTGAACCTAAAATTTAAGTGTGAGGTCTGGTCTGCCACCTCGTTCCCTATTGGACAGGGAAACTGTTATTTAAAATGATGGTTTCCAGTAAATGTACACATACAGTATGTTTAGGCAGTCCCCTGTTTAGGTCTCTTTAAAATGTTTTGATTCCTTACCTCCTTTCTAGGAGCAGGTTAAACTACCTTCACTAGCTCTCGGTAAATTACAGTTCCCCAAAGATGAAGCCAGCCTGGCTTTGTGTAATCTCTATTTCTATTATTTGGTATCTCCTTTGGTTACTCTACATTGATGGCTTACCCTCCCTGACAGGAATCCTGCTCTAGACCTAGACTGCTTCAGTCCTTAGTACATAAGGGACCTTGCTTCACTCAGGCTAATACCCAACCCATGAAGATGACTGTGAGGGCTTGGATGATAGTTCTTCAGTGGACCTTTGACTGTGTGGCCTGGTCTCTCTCAAAACCCCTCTTTGGAAAAATCACACTATCCCTCATTTTCCAGTGTCCTTTTGATTTGGAGTAGAGCAAGTATTCACAATCTTAGTCACATTTTCTCTATAGGAAAACACCACTCCTTCACTTTATTAAAGGAAAAAATTGGCCTCTATAATTGATACTTTTTTAGGTATCTCCAACTAAGACATGCCATTAGGGCTCAGCTTCCCCAGCCTCCTATCCCCCAGCAAGCTCACTGGAATCTCTCCTAAAGGTCCCTGATCTTGATTGGCCCCTTTTTTCAGTCTTTGCCTACCTTACAACTCACCACAGTTCTAAGACCCTATTGCTTTTTCACAGGTGGAAACTTGACATTCCTTCACTTTCTAATGAGGAGTGGGAGGATGTGCTTATCCAATATACCAAATTGATGATATCTGCTAGGGATACATTTTTCCAGTTGAAATTGTTATATTTGATCTAATATACCCCCCTCCCCCAGTGGCTGCTTCACATCAATGCCACTCTTTCTCCACTCTGCAACAAATGTTGCAATACAACGTGCACTTTCTATCATTTGGTGTGGATTTGCCCTTTGATTTTTTATTACTGGCAACAAAGTAACAACCAGCTTGGCTAAAGCAATAAAGATACCTCTAAATCGGAGCCCTATAATTCTGTTACTAGTTATCTATGATTCCTTCTCCACCCCAAAAATGCTTAACTATTGTTGTTTTACACATCTTACTAGAACTTAGACCAGGCTATAGACATTTGACTACATATTTTTAACAAGGAGTAAATAAACTAAAAAAAAAAAAAAAAAAAAAAAAAGTTATGCAATGTATGCAATTTAAGGCAATTTAATGCAATATATCTTCAAAGTTCTCAAGAGAAGCAATGGAGTCATTCAAGTTTGGTTTAAGTGCACTGCTCTCACCCCTCTTCCCATGTTGCCACTTTGTGCTTACGTTAGGTTCCTTGCACATGGGGGAATCTAGGTACTGTGCGTCCCTCCTGTATTTTATTCTGTCTAGGAGGGACAGGTGCATTTGCCAACATTGCTGTCAGCAGCCTGTCAAAGTCTATGGCAAGCTGCAACTGGATGGGTTGAATTCAGTATCAAGTGGTACTCCCTTTTGGGGCCCTATGCATTCAAGGTCAAATCTAGAGTCTAGTTCTTCTGCATTCCAGGCATTCAACCCTCAACGCATAAGGTTCTAAATGCAAATACCACTCGGTACAATGTTGAGTCCTGTCCAACTTCAGCCTATCATAGATTTTAACATGTTGCAGGCAGTGGGGCTGGATGCTACACCTGGCCCAGCTAGATCTAATGAGAAAAAAACTAAAGAGAAAACATTTCTTCTTAAAGCTTTGAGGATATAGATTGATACACGAGAATATAAGTATGAGAGAGGTGGAGATAAATTATAAATGTTTAACGAGATGGCACATTGCACCGAACGTGGAACACAGGATGAATGGGGAAAAGTCTTCAGAGTGCTGGAGGGGATGTGGAAGAATAGGTACCTTATATCATTTATGGTGGGAGTGCCCAATGATACAAGCCTTCTGGGAGAAAATAGTCCAATTAATTGAGATAATCACTGGAATAAAAATAGGATTGAACCCAGAGGTGTGTCTATTACATAGTACAGATCTACCAGTAAATAGATATAAAGACTCTGGTGTATGGCATTACTTGAACGCGGCAAAAGGTCTGATTCCTAGGTTTTGGCATAGACCAGAGACACCGAGGGAGGAGGATTGGGTAGAAAGAACAAATCAGACATGTAAGATGGAGAAATTATATTACACGCAAGAAGACAAGATGGGGCTATTTTTTAAGAAGTGGAGAAAATGGGAAGATTTTGTAGCGAGATCTACGAAGTAACAATTGAGAAAGAGGAGGAAGAACTTGTATATTCTATTTAGGAAAAGAGTTAATAGAAGTATGCAGAGTGGGTGGGTCTATTAATGGGAAATGGGGATATCTGAGGGGGTGGGTGGGCTTTTAGTGTGGGACTGGGGAGGTAGAGGGAATAAATTAGGGGTAGAAAAATAATTAAGGGTTTGGAAAATGTTTTTTGTATATGTAAAATGATGAAGAAATGTGTATATTATATGGAAAATAAATAAATATTTAAATAAAAAAAAAAAAAATAAAGCTTTGAGGATGAGTTACTCAATGGTTGCTATAGCTACCATTTTTACAACAGTTTTTGAATGCTAGCTGTCTAATGTCCATACCATGACCACACATCTACCTTTTGTAAGCACTGATGAAACATCTGATGTAATATAATGCATTTGATCCTTAGCTCTGTTGACTGTATCACCACAGTGCTGACGCAAACACGAAATATGATGCTTGAACCATGTCAGTCCATGGTTTTTAACTGCTTTGCTATTTTTTTGAGGAGTCTTTAGTCATTTTTTATTTTTATTTGTATTTTCATTTCTTATTTTGATGGCCTTTTTTAAGATGTTTATACCCCACATGCATATATTTAAAACACATTGCATGTTTTGCATCAGCATACATCAAGGGAGATTTGTTTCTTACCATTCCACTTGCAGTTGTTCCCCCTATTTATATTGTTCAGCACAATGGCTTATTCCTTTGTTTTCTCTCTATTTTTCTACAACCTGTACCAAAATCCATATTTTCAGATAAAAAAAATTAAGGCCTGTTTTGACAAAATACTTTGCTATTTTATTTATGAACAATAACAATCTGATTCTATTGTCAACCATATTTGTTAATAAAATTGTTTATTAAAATCCTTATTGATTTTAAGGTCATCAATTTTTGTCGATATGGATTCTAATGATGGTGTCACGGAAGAGACAAGATCTGGGAATTTGGAGGAAA